GGTGTGGGCGTGCGCGTGCGCGTGCGCGTGCGCGTACGCGTGCGCGTGCGCGTGCACGTGCGCGTGTGCGTGTGCGTGTGCGTGTGCGTGTGGGTGTGTGTGTGTGTGTGTGCGCCTGCGCCTGCGCCTGCGCCTGCGCGTGCGCGTGCGCGTGCGTGCGCGTGCACGTGCGCGTGCGCGTGTGCGTGTGCGTGTGCGTGTGCGTGTGCGTGTGCGTGCGCGTGTGCGTGTGCGTTGTGTCTGCCTGTGTCTCTGTGTGTCAGTGTGTGTCTCTGTGTGTGTGTGTCTCTGTGTGTGTCTCTGTGTGTGTGTGTCTGTGTGTGTGTCTCTGTGTGTCTCTGTGTGTGTCTCTGTGTTTTTGTGTGTGTCTGTGTGTGTCTCTGTGTGTTTCTCTGTGTGTGTCTCCGTGTGTGTGTGTCTGTGTGAGTCTGTCTGTGCGTGTGTCTGTGTGTGTCTGTGTGTGTGTGTGTGTCTGTGTGTGTGTGTGTCTGTGTGTGTGTGTCTGTGTGTGTCTGTGTGTGTCCATGCGTACATATACATGTATATGTAACAATGTATATATATATATATATACTTATATTTACCCGTGTATGTATATATATATATATGTATATGTACCTGTACATATATACATGTGTATATATATATATATACATACATATGCAATTGCGTGTTTTCCCCACGTTCCCACTTCTGAAGCCAAATTGGCTTCATGCCCCCTCACATCCCCGCTAGGTTGAACGGCGTTGGTTTTGCCCTTTTGCAAGATACACAAGACATGGTTTGGCCCATGTTGAACTGGCCTGTTGGCATTCTCGGCTCTTTCATCAGCGTCACCACCACCAACCCACCAACCCGCCACCACCACCATGACCACACTCATCATCATCATCATCATCATCATCATCATCATCATCATCATCATCATCTGCTTCCTGGTGGGCTACGGTAGGGGCACGTGCCTTTGACGCCTTTCCGAGATGGGTTCTGTGTGTTCTTCAAAATGCACAAAGCCAAGCATTGGCAGAGTTGTCCAATCCTTTTCTAATAGGTACATCTTTCAAAGCTTCAATCACTTTAGAGTCGCAGGCCGTGCGTCAGAAGCTGGCACCTGCGCGCAACGCGCGCGCACAAAGCCCGCACCCGCTATCGAGGCTGGGTACGCGATAGGCTGAAAGAAGCAATGACTTTTTTTCACGGGGGAAGAATGTTAGGCGGCTAGCGTCTCTGTAGGCTGCAGGCAAGCAGCCATCTCGGATAAAGCGATCCTTCAAGTGCTTGGCCGGGCTGATGAAGAGGTCAACCTTCTCTGCCATTGCCCTGACAAACGCCATCCTCTTCGCAACCCAGCTGGCCCAATACTCTTCGTCTATGGCGCTGTTGGGATCTCCTGATCCCATGCGCGGAGCGTAGCACTTCGCAGCGCACTTCTGGTGTTCTTGGCCATCGCACAAAGGCCACAAGTCCTCTGCATTATCACCAGTGAACTGAATGTACTGGCCCCGAGGGCAGTTCAGCCAGAAGTCGTGGAGGGTGTAAATGAATGGTATGTTCTTGCGGCACACCATGGCGACCAGGGAGGTCGACAAGTGGTTCAGATGTCCACAGTGAACAACATCTGGCTCAAATGTCTCCATGATCTTCGCAAGTGCTTCATCTACTTCAGCCACGCGGTACCGGTCGCGGAAGTTCGGAAGGTTGATGACCTTCAACTTCACTGCTCCGTCCTGGGGATAGGCAAGTTAGGAGATGAAAGCCACCCTCTGGCGGAATGGTATTGCTTCATGAAGGCATGCTCATATCGGCGAAAACAACCAAAAGCTGCTTTTGAAGATGAGCTTCAACCTCATCCCTTACTCTGAAGTACGGGGCAATGGTGTCCTCCTCTCTGCAGAACACCAAGACCTCGTGGCCTCTGCGCTGCAGCTTTCTTGCCAATGTCTGGGTGTATACTTCTGACCCAGCATTGTACAATGGAGGATACCCATGAATCACAAGCAGCACTCTCAGCGCTTTCGCCTTTGGGCGCTCAAGCTTCCCCTGCGAAAACGACGACTTGGCGCAGCGTGAGCGACCTCTCGGTCGCAGGGACGAAGACCACAACGCTCCAAGCAACAGGCAGCCCCGGAACCTCACCGGGGGGCAAGCGCTCGCATTTGGGCGGTCGGGCGCACCGCGCACGCCACACCACGGCCAAATCCTGGAGCTCGTCAACAAATGCGGAGACAGCATCATTGAAACCGCAAGACTTGGGCACTTTGTGCTGCAGGAAAAGTTGCGAATCTCCCACATGTAGGAAACGAAACGGACTGCGAGCTTCACTTGCGGGCCCTTTCCTGCAATTGAAACTCTTGCGGCTGTGCAGCTTCCGCATTTTGGAACTGATTGCCCAGCTCCCCAAGGGCAACTCCACTGGAGAAAGTGTGAGTGAGAGAGGAGGGGCAATGTTACAGGTTGACCCGGGGAAGTTGGGGCTTGCAACTGTGGGGCAAGTGATTTGATCCATCGGACCGGTAAGCTCAATGAAAGAATCACGCTAAGCCCCAGCGCGCGCAAACTGCGGCGGCCTTGCAATTCAGCAGACCATTCCTCGACAAATCAAGTTGCGCTGTAGCGCCAAGCAAAAGCAATGATGGCAAAAGCGTGCTTCCGCAACTGAAGCCACATGTGATGTGTAAACTGCGTGGCAAGACTCTTGTACACCAACTTGGGAACTGGCGCGGCCTTGGCGCCTGCGTCGTTGTCATAGAGCGCCACGATTCCCCCACTCCGCAAGGCGCACGCGGCGAGCTTTGGGAACTGCTCCAACATTCCCACCTCGCGCCCAAGATCGCCTGGGAGAGGCGAAGAACCATTTGAGTCACCATCAAAACCCGGTATTGTAATTGGCTTAAAAATTGGTGGCACCATTAAAACCTGGATAATTGGCCATTTGGTGCAAAATTATCCGCGCGTCATCTTTCATGTTGGCAGTTCGGGAAGGGTCAACCTGGAGGCAAACCTAAAAGGCGGCTAGCAGACTGGATATAGAAGCAGATTGCTTCGACACCCCAAAAGCGCGTTGACCGACGCGCAACATTCTAGCACGGCTCAAGACCTGAAAGCAAGTCGCAGCTCATTCGGCCAGTCGAGCTGGCACGCATCTCTGCCCTCTGCGTGGCAGTATCTGCTGTCACATGAATACCCAGCAAATGGACTTGGTAGTTTTCCTTCAGCACATCTTCCATGAAGCGCAAAGTACTTGGCTCATCGAAAATGCCTGGCAGAACAAAGTCGCAGCGCTTCTGAAGAAGCTGAGAAAGGACGGAATCCGGAGCCTCATACAGGACCTTTTTCATGTCTGAGTTGTGAAACCAACTGGGCAAATCCACCAAGGACGTAAAGTGAAGAGCCTCATTTGAATCAACTTCACAGATCTGCTGGGCATAACGCTGGTGCTGCGCATGAAAGCAGCGAGCACCGTCCGCATCTAGATTGACAGTTTCATTGAGAGCCATGCCCAAGTCAGACAGCAGCCCTTCCAGGCAGGATGTCTTCCCAGCGCCAGGCAGGCCGGTGACAAACACGGCTCTGGGCTTGGACCGCGACGGTTTCCCCAAGAGGCACCGAGTGAGGAGCTCAGCCTCTGCCTTGGTGTATTCGCGGCAGGGCACTTCAGGACAGCCAGGCTTCAAGTGGAACTGAATTGTTGGCAGCTGTTCAGGCACCCCAGTGAGCTTGCTGCGGAGCTTTGCAAACTCCTCAAGAGTCAAGCCAGAACCTAGCGCAAGCTCCACCGGAAGATTGCAGCTCGTGCGCTTGCGCAATGCAGGAGGAAGCAAGTGCAGCATGTCAACCGCTTCTAATATGCCACAAAGCCAGGAGTCCGCTCTTTGCTTCGGGTGTGTGAGGACTTGCAACAACGCGGCCGCGGCCGCCGTGCGTCTGCCATCCTGACACCGCACACAGACCGGGAACTCTGCTAGGAGCAGGGCGCGGAGGAAGAGCCCGAAGGCTTGGCAATCGTCACCACCGGGCGTTTCAGGGAGGGGAACACTGCGGACATGATTCAAATCTGCCCCGCACTCCTGCAAATCAAGCACGGTCTTTGCCGCATGAGGCACCCCATCCCCGATGCACAGGTACAGGCCTTTGTGGAACTGACGAATGGCAGTTCGCTGAAGTAGCCTATGCATGGTCTCAATGCTTCGCGGCAGATCTGAAGGGCCCATGGAGCATTGAAGCGCAGAGGAGAGGTCTGGGATTCGCTGGGCAGTCTTCGCAAACTTCTGGAACTGGTGGAGGTACGCAGCAAAGAAGAAGGGGTCGTCTTCTTCCAGCAGCCATTCCATGCGGATGTTGGGAACCAGACTTGTCAAGCTGCGGCGTGCTTCGCTTGAACAGGCCTTAAAAGCGTGCTTTGGTAGATGAAGAAATTGGCGACCCCCATCTAGGATGTAAAGAAGCTTCACGAGGCTGTCGAAAACGATGAACATCTGAAAGTAGGCTCGGTATGCATCATGGGACAACATCTGGGCCAAGGCATTCTCAAATGATTCCACAAATCTGATTACCAGGCCACGCAGAACAAGTGATAGTGGCTTCTCCTGACCGCAATGCCGGAGAATGTCTGCATCCTGAGCGTAGAGAAGAGATTTGGCGGAAGTCGCTAGGACGTCCACTGTGGAGAGATCGTTGGTCACAAAGCAATCCATTCCTGAGTGTGTATCATACTCTCCAAGACAAGTTCAACAGCAGCAACCGTCAAAGTCAAACAAGCTCATCTGCTGTGCTTGTCCAACCTACCATGCAAAATTAGCAACATTCTCGGAGGATCCTACAGCGGTGGGTTTTCTTTTGGCTGCTTTCACCAGATGTCGAATGTACGCTGGCTCAAGGCTAGGTTCGGACCACATCATTGCCACGCGGGATAAAGACGGTGAGCTTCTCTTCGGACGGCTTCGAAAAACAAAGGCCATGCCCTTGCAGGCAGTCCGCTTCTAGCGCTGCTGACAGCATCT